CCTTTTTGCAAACAATTCCCCAAATGGAAGCTCACTTCAAATCGACAACCAAAATGCAATGTTTGAACCAGCAAGCGATGTATGCACTCACTGATACGTAAATAAACACATACATAAATAACTATAAACATAATATGTACGCATATATATATGCACTACTCCTCGTGCAACTGCCGTGACCCAGCACACGCAACGCTGCACTTTTGCCGGGGTCACGTGCCTCCTGACCAAAAAGGCAAAGATTCGAGGCCCATCTTGGGCCTGAATCCCAAATTTCCCCGCTCACAGCCTCTGAGCTGGAGGAGTACGGGGTGGTGGTGGGAGCCGAAAACTCCGTTGACCCGAGAATCGTGCATGCTTACCCCTTTTGGATTAAACATGCACTACTCCTCGTGCAACTGCCGTGACCCAGCACACGCAACGCTGCACTTTTGCCGGGGTCACGTGCCTCCTGACCAAAAAGGCAAAGATTCGAGGCCCATCTTGGGCCTGAATCCCAAATTTCCCCGCTCACAGCCTCTGAGCTTTGCCCCCTCCTCCACGCGTCCCCTGCTGGCTGACAGAGGCACCGAAAGCTTGTCGCGCAGCGCGAATGGTAGGAAGGGAGGTCGTAGGCAGGGCGAGGTTGGTAAACTCCTGAAGCCCTTGATCAAGATACAGGCGGGCAGTTGCAACGTGTTTCCAGCGCCCTTTTAACAGAAGCTCATCAAGCGTGGCCCCTTGCCGGTAGGCCGATGTGGCGCCACCACGTCGCAAGGAATACGGTAAGTAATTGAATTGCTCCAACTGAAGGGAGGCCACCACCTGCTTCCAAAGCTTCCGATACTTTGCAGAAGACTCAGTGACAAGGAAATCAGTAGGGGCTCGGCCCACGCACAAGCGCTCCAAAGATTTAATCCCAGTCTCCTCAGTGATCAGCACTTTTTCCCATTGCATGTGGTTCCTTTGGCCGGTTTTGGTGTCTTCAAGAAAAATGATGGCAGCTTGGCCCTGACGCGCAGGGAGTACCACATGTTGCCGCCGCAGTTTGAACATCTCGCCAGTGCGAAGGAAGCCACAAAAGCCAACAACAGTCAAGTAGGCTAGCCGCTCCCACCGCCATTGCAAAAACAGGCCCGCAAAAGCAAGGCACATCTCTGGTGATAACGGGGTTGCTCTGATTGGCTGTTCCAACCGGCTCCATAGGCTCACCAAGCGCCAAGCCTCACTGATCTGTCTTTTGTGCTGCGGGGCAAAGTACTGAGCTGCTGCCAAGGCATAGCTTGCCATGGTCCTGGTGTCTCCATCTTCCCAGAGATGCTCAATGTAGTTTTTAAGAACCAAGTTCAGCTGCCCACGGTCTTGTAGCAGTGCTTGTCGTGAAACGCGTGCAAAGTTCACTAAGTCACCAAAAGCCTCTTGGTAGCGTGTCAAGGTAGTCTGTGAAACTCTTTTGTCCTCAAGCCGCCCTATCTGCCGTCTCTCCTCTCGCCTTGCCTCCTTTGTTGTCAAATACTTAATTGTCCTTCGGCTCATAGCGTCTGGACGGCTCATCCGCTGGGTTGAGCTTGGATGCGATCCAAGCCCAAAGAGGGTAGAGGTTCAAGGCGATGCAGAGGGCGGCAATCTTTCGCAAAATGCGATTCAACTTGCGGCTTGAGCTCCTCCCCTTTGCAAGGACTGCTAAGCAGATCTGGGAGTCGCTCAAATGCAAAAAGCGGCAGGAGTGGAACGTTGCAGATCTGGCTCGCCATTCCAGCGAATGAAGAATAGCCCGCAATTCCAGCACGTTGATGTGTTCACGGCGATCCCACTTGTAGGAGTGAGCCACCTTCCAGACCCACCTCCGTGGGTCCACGGTTGTTCGGGCAACCGCATCTGGTCTGTAGACTACTTGAAGATCTAGCCTCACGTCAGATCCTCTAAACTCGGCCCGGCGAAGGTACTGGTGAACCAGCCGGGCTGCCAGGAGCTTCGGGTCTGGAAGACGCTCACCATCCCTGCTGCTCATCCTCAGCCACTCCATCAGCCCTGGCGGCTTTTCTATTTGAAGCAGCCTGTCTTCTTCCTCCTTCTCACTCAGAGACGTTGCATGGGTCACCTCCGTTCCTTCCATCAGGCCCTCGTCGTTGTACCTCCTAGTGCGCATCATCTGGTGCCATTCCTCTACAATCTTTGAAGCGCCCTTGGGGTCAGTCCGCACTCCAGCGGTCCAAAGCCAGAGGTCCAAAAGACACGCCACCTTCACAGCATGGAAGGAGTTGCCAATGGCCGCCTCACGCGCCACCTGCTGCCTGAACTCCTCCTCTGTGTTTGTAGGGT